TTTTTTATTATTTACGCTTTGATAAAGTTGTTAATAACAAAAAGGGTAAAGAAGAATTTTTCAAAATTTGAAAGTTGTTTTATTCGTGTATACACGATTATGATATTTGAAATAGACAATGAATAAGACAATGAATAGAAATAGAAAAAATAAGTAATGGTTATCTATTTCTAATTTGATTTATTGTTTTTATTCCATGGCTTATACTTTCTATTTAAACAACAGAATTAAAAGAAGAATAAACAATTGCTAAAGACAACAAACCTATGCAATTGTTTATACTTAACAAAGTTGTTGTTTGAAACAATGAACTCTAATCGGGTTAATATTATTGAACATCTTAAAGTTGTTCAATATTAACCCGATTGGCACGGTTCGTAAAAAAGACGTCTTTTATACGTCTTTTGAACATTTTGAACATCTTTTGAACGTTTTGGACGTCTTTTGACCGTTTAAAAAACGTCTTTTTAAGGTCCCGTGTCCACTGGAAAGGATTCTAGTTAAAATTCTGAAAATCATTTGATTCAAAATTTACTTTAAACTTTTAAGGACCAGTGGCCCCTAATACTATAGTTATATATATATATATATATATATATATATATATATATATATATATATATATATATATATATATATATATATATATATATATACATATATATATATATATATATATATATATATATATATATATATATATATATATATATATATATATATATATATATATATATATATATATATATATATATATATATATATATATATATATATATATATATATATATATATATATATATAAAACACTTGATTAACTTTGACATTTGACATTTAAGCTTTAAAAGAATATATATGTAAAGGTTTAAGTATGTCTCAGTTGGGCAAGGAACCTAAAAAAGACGTCCTTTTTACGTCCCGTGCCCATTAAGTACTAAAGCAGTTTATTCTAAATATTCGAAATGCTAATTGAATATTGCCTTAATTCATTTTAACTACATAATAACTTAAATTTTACAAGATTTTGGTTTTTTATAATGTATTTATAATTTATAATAAATTATATTTTTAGTTTATTTTGATGCTATTTATATTTTCAGATAAAACATTTAAAAAAAAATGAGCGAAGCAATACAGAAGTACAAGTTTCTCAAATCAAACACAGTAGGGATTGTAGGTGTCTCTGTAAAGGAAGGACAAAATCTATTAGGTGTAGAACTTGCCCCTGAAAAAATTCGGAATGGTGGACTTTTTGAAGTCATAAAGAGTTTAAATTGGGACTATTCAGACAAAGGAGATATCAAAACCGAAGATATTCAAACACAAAAATGCTCTGCAAAGATATACAAGTACGAAGAACTTAAGAATGTCGATATTATTGGTGCAGCGAACGAAAAGCTACACAATAAAACTTCAGAGATCGCTGAATTAGGACAGTTTTGCATTACTCTCGGAGGTGATCATGGATGTGCATCTGGATCCATTTCAGGGCTAAAGAAAGTTTATAAAGATTTAAAGGTAATATGGGTAGATGCGCACTCTGATTGCAACATTCCCGAAACTTCTCCGAGCGGAAATTATCATGGAATGCCTGTTGCTCATTTACTTGGTTGGATTCCTGACGGAAGTGTTCCTGGTTTTGATTGGTTTAAAAGTTGTTTGAAAAACGAGGATATTGTAATAATTGGTTTAAGAGACGTTGATGAAGGAGAAAAGGTTTTACTTAAAAAGCATGGAATTAAATGCTTCTCAATGCATGATGTAGTCAAATATGGAATCTCAGGGGTAATGGAGAAAACATTTGAGTATTTCAGAAAAGATGGAGTAGATCACCCAATTCATATTAGCTATGACGTAGACGGTATTGATCCTACAGTAGCTTACGGAACAGGAACAAAAGCTCGAGGTGGCTTATTGTACAGAGAAGCTCACTATATAGTAAGAGAGGTTGTAAGTACTGGACAATTTGTCAGTATGGATGTTGTTGAGGTAAATCCTTTACTTGACAAAGAAAAAGAATACTTCCATGGAGATAGTAAGCTAATTAAAGGCACAGAAACTGTTTGCTTGGCTATTGAACTTTGTGCTTCAGCGCTTGGATACACCTTGCTATAAATAATGTAACATTATATGAATGAACATAATGATATACTATAAAAAACAGCTGATTAACAACAACAACAAATTAAATATTTCCTCATTTTAATGTGACAACAAATATACTTATAACTTTTAAAACTTTTCAAACTTTTTTAAGTATTTTTTTAACAACTTTTAGTATCTAGGCGTAAATTGTATTTTTAATTTTTTGTAATTTAGTTATTTTGGATTTTAAGTATTTTTCATTTTAAATATTTTGTAGTTAAAATATTTTATGATCAAAATAGTTTTTAATTTAGATATATTTTAATTTAAATATTTTGTTTCAATTTTTAATATCTTGATTGTAATTTAATAATATTTCTCATTTAGTTTTATACTTTATTTTTGACAAAAAGAAAAGAAAAATGCTTTAAAAGTTGTGCTTATTTAACTTAATTTTAATAATTTCTCTCTCTCTCTCTCTCTCTCTCTCTCTCTCTCTATATATATATATATATATATATATATATATATATATATATATATATATATATATACTTTAACTTCAAATTATGTTAAAAATATGTCAAGTTTTACAGTTTTACTTGAAAGTTGTATTGCGGCAATATTTCCTTTTTTTTTTTTTTGATTTATAAAATTTATTTACCGTTTTAAAAAATTATACAGTCTATTTGCTCATTAAATAGTGTTGAAAATTATAGTATGACTTCAATAGTATGACTTCATGGCCAAAGTGGTTAGCTCGCTGCGTTTCTGAAGTTTATCTCAGGGGTTCAAATCCTTTTGCTTGCATAATTAATATTTCTTTTTTTTTCAAATCTTTTCCAATTTTCTATAATACAAAATAAAAGGGAGGGAGTTTTTTATAAAAACTCTCTCCCTTTCCTTTGTAATAGTATGCATTATCTTTTATATGTCACGTATATATTTATAAATAATATATACGTGACATATAAAAGATAATGCATACTGTTACAAAGGAAAGGGAGAGAGTTTTTATAAAAGCTTTAAATTTCTAAAAATATAAAAACACCGCACAATGGGGTAGTAGTGAGCAAAACCCCTCAAAACCAACTTCTAAATTGAAGTAATTTCTTTTTATAAATGTAACCTAGAGACCCCAGCACTCTAAAACATACATAATTTTTTCCGTACTATCTCAGTGGGCCTTAGACATCCAACGGACGTCTGGTGGACGTCCAGAAATAAATTGGACGTCTATTAGACGCTTTAGGACGTCCGATGCTCACTAAGATTCTTTTTTGAACTCAGTATATATATTAGTCATTTTACCACAAAAATGACAATGTTTTACTTTTCAAATATTAGTCAAAATAAAAAAATCATATAAAAAAGAAATATGGGGCGAGTAAGACAATTTTACAACATTTTAATTTCTTAACGGCAAGTATTAGTCAATTGACATCATATATTGAAATAAAAAGAAGAAATATGAAAATTATTTTTTATGCTTATATTTTTTCAAAGTGTTTTTTAATAAAAACTCCTAATATGCGCCACCTTTTTTTATACAACTATCTTTACACAAGCCGAAAAACACTACGCCGCACATGTGTCACCTTTAAATTACACTTTCATACAGTGGCTAGGAAAGTTTTCAAATGTTTGAAATAACCAACTTTTAAACAAAAGAAATATTCCAAATTTTTTTATGTTCATATCTATGACGAAAAAATTCTTCACCAAAAAAAATTACTGTAATAGGGAGAATGGGAACAAGAAACTCTAAACAAGCTGATGAAATATTTTTTCTTCTATTTTCAACTAGACTTACATTCATGGAGAAATTTTATATTTTATAGTAAAATATTTTAGTTTTCAAAAACTATAACCATATAAAATTTGCAGCTCCCTCAAATTGAGGGGGGTTCAAACTTTATATGGTCAGAATTTTTGAACACTAAAATATTTTAGCCCAATTAAATTAAGATATATGATACCCCTATAAATTTGTATCATATGTCTTTATTTAACCCATATATTATTTTGCCATTTTTAGACAATTTGCCCACTGTGCACCGGAAGAAATTTGTTACGCATACGTCGCGATGGAGATAAAGCTATTATTGTGCTTAAATAATTAGTTGTCTGCGCGTTTAATACACATTAAAGAGACAGCTTTTTTTCTTATAGGAAAGAAGATTTTACATTTAAACTTTTATTTTCTTCAAAATTAACGGGGTGAGGGTCCTATTAAGCTGCCAATTGTCTGAAAAAAATTTTTTTACGCGCTTAAATTTATATTAAATACAAGTTATATTATTGTTTTCATGAAATATACAATGCATCTGAGGTAAAGATGAACAAAACATTTTAGGATAATAGTTCTTTCAACCTGGATATTACTACTCTCTGACCTTGAATAGTTTAGTCAACTGATGAAAAATATTAGTCAACTAATTGATAATAATAGTCAACTAATATTCTGGGAGCAAGTTGTGGCAATTCTAATTCCCAGACAATACCCGTGGTATTAGTATTTTACCTATCTTTACCGAACTTCTAAAATATTTAATCTTACTTGTATGTCCTAGTATAATAGAAAGCCATTCTCATCAATATAGTTGAATTGAGAACCTCCTACTAATATAGTTGAACATCAGTTGATGTATCTACCTGTTGATTGTAATATCTACCTGTTACCTATCTACCTGTTGATTGTAACTACGCCTAAATCTTATTTAGTCGATGTGTACACTCTGTTAAAGGAGTAGTTACAGCTTGTTAACGGACTGTTACGGTTGTATGTGCAGTGCACGTTCTGCGCTTTAAACTTATATGGTTCAAGTGCAGAAAAAACAATCTTTATGAACTAAATTTAAAAAATATATTAATACCAAAGAGGCAAACCGGGAACCCTCAGTTTACTAGCCGAAAGCAGAATCCACAAGACCACGCTTACGTTACAGAATAAGAGAAAATTGTATTTGCATGTGCATATATTATTATATATTATTCACCCCCTCCCCCCCCCCATCAATGATTTTTAGTCGGCAAACTGGACCCTTAGTCGGCAAATCGGACCCTTTTAGACTAGTTAGTCAGCAAATGTGGCACCTTTCGACATAGGTTAGACAGTCGGCAAATGTCGTAATGGGAGTCGGCAAATTTTGGAAAACGAGGACTATTTTTTTTTTTTTTTTTTTAGTCGGCAAAAGTTGTAATGGCACCCCCCCCCCCACGTGACACCTACTCGCGCCGGCCTTGATTATATATATAATATTTTGCAAGTGTTATACATCGAAAGAATAGGTTTTTAAAATTAGTATCATGTTTAGGATGAGATGTTAATTTATACAATTTTACACCGAACTATTGGGGTAAAAAAACATTAAACAGACTGAAAAGTACTAATTAATTAACTCAACGAAGCTTCCTTTTTTTTTTTTCTATTTAGGTTTTTTTTATTTAGCTCAGAGAATTATAGACATTATTATATTTAAACCGTTTAGTATTTTGTAAAATTTTGCACCAATCGCACCCCCCTCCCCACCCCCACCTTAAAAAATTTTTTAAAAATGTCAAAAACCGCGTGACGTAATTTATGGACGTCTTTTTTTACAAGTTTTTAACATCAATACATTACAAGACTAGAAAATTACAATAAATCGTGATATAAATTGAAAATATAAATCAAACCACAAATGTTATATATAATAAAAAGACTGATCTTATTGTCAGAACTTATAGGAGCGCAAATATATAAATACATATATAAATATATATATATACAAAGTAAATAAAGTAAGACATCTCTTTTTAATAGGCAAGAAAAAATAAAACAGTCTTACAATTAAAAAGACAAATATGTGGTTGTTATAAAAAATATTTAAATATATCGTCGATGAATAAAATTTTTTAGCTTACTTTTAAAGATCGGAAATGTATTGGATATATCAAAATTAGGTATAACAATTTTATTTCATAGATAAGGTGATCAAAATATAATGCAAAACTTGTTAAATTTTGTTCTACAAATTGGTTCATATACAAATTTTTTATTTCTAAATAAATATTTATTTATTGGGTTTCGAAAAAGAAGGTCTTTGAAGATAGGTAAAGTTAATTCGTTTTTCCACAAGTAAATAAGGCATAAAATGTTATAAACATTGAGCTCATAAATATTGTGTATTTTCATATTTATAAATAATGGTTTAGAATGAGTAAAACAATCGCAAAATTAATCAATTGGATCGCATGCTTCTGACGGCGAAAAAGGTATTTTAGCTTACTTTTTTCGGTGATTCCCAACGCTATGTTGGCATAATTAATATAGGTGTGAATAAATGAGTACTAAAGTTGGGTTAAGAATTTTTTGTTTAAATTTGATCTGGATTTATGTAAGACTCCGTTATTTTTAGATATTTTTGAGCAAATATCTAAAAATAACGGAGTCTTACATAAGGGGAGCATTGGTACAGTGGGAGCATTGGTACAAAGGCAAATTTTCAGCAATTTTAAATCAATTTAAACTTTTAAATACGTATATTAAATATTACTTCTAATAATTTCATCCATATAAAAAATAGTTGGGCTTAAAGCATTTGTTACCCGTAATTTTATCAGGAGTTCATTTTGCTGCTATTTGGATTTTTTTCACGTTTTGCTGTTAGTGACAAATACGCTAATTATTTATTTTTTTTGTTTTTCATTGTTTTCTGATGTTTTTATTATTGTAAACTTAAGCCTTAAGCTAAAACTTAAAATTGTAGAAAAAAATTAAAATAGCGTTTAGTTTCTAATTACTTTTTTTTTTTTTTTTTTTTTAAATTATCTTCGCTTCCAACAAGGCTGCAAGCAACCACTAATTAGTGTTGGAAGTTACTGGAAGAGAAAAGATAAAGATTGTAGAGCAAGATAACGATTGACAGACGACTTAAAAAATTGCAAATTATATGAATCAGGAAAGCAAGATGAAGGAAGCGAATTCCAAAGAACTGATGTTCGAGAAAAAAAACTAGACGAATAAGAGTTTTTGGAGCACTTAGGAACAGTAACAGAAAAAGGATGAGACTTAATTGAATGACGAGTAACACGAAAATGAATTTTAGTAGATGGCACAAGAGACGCTAGCTCTTTCGAGCAAAGCCCATTATAGTATTTGTAGAAAAGAGAAAAAGAAGCAACATTACGACGATGTGACAGAGGTTGAAGGTTGGCTGCAAGAGCAGGTCCAACTATGTTTACAATGCGTTTTTGCACCTTGTCTAAAAGAGAAAGGGCATCGTTAGAAGATCCGCCCCAGATATGGCAACAGTATTCCATACAAGGCCGGATTTGAGATTTATAAAGATAGAGAATAGAATCCAGAGTAAGAAAGTGACAAGCTCGATAAAGAGAAGCAACTTTAGCAGATGCTAATTTTGCAACGGATTT